TGTGTATTTAATGTCTGTCCCACTGAATCTTGGAAGTAGATAAACTTGTTTTTTTTTTTTTGTCTTTTTCTGTGTCCGGCAACGGATCGCAACCCTCAGTGTCGCCCCCGTACCGGACCGGGACCGGCAACGGGATCGCAACCCTCGATGTGGCCCCAGCGCCTCGCTCAGCCAGTGAGCGGGAACCGGTCCGTATGTGGGATCCGAACCCTCGGCGGGAGCGCAACCGCGCTTCCCAAGCGGCGCATAGCGCAGTGCGCCACCGGGCCGGCCCCGATAAACTTGTTTTTGACTCTTTACAGGTTCACTGCTGAAAGGAGTTTTGCCTTTAGTTTAAGATGAGACTTTGGACTATTGAGTTGATGCTGCAACAAACTAAAGAGTTTTGGGACTGGGATGGAATGTGTAGTATGTAAATGTAAGGGTCATTTATCCTTGCTAAGGGAACATCCAGGAAGATTCTGAATGCTTAGATTGTATGGCGAGGACCCTGAAGGGTTGGATTGTTGGGAAAATAGAATAATTTAATCAGGTTCCCCTTGCCTCAAGGCCAGTTGGGGGTGGTTAATAAACAAATTGGGTGGGTGGGTGGGTGGAGTTAGTGTGCGTGTGTGTGCGGTGCTTCCACCTTGGCTGGTGTCTGCCTCGGGCATCAGCTCGTGCAGCTGTGCTTTCCAACTTACGGTTTCCAAGGACCTGTTTGCTGGTTACCTAGCTCATAGACCTGCGTGTGAGGGGTCTGAGGACCCAGCCTGGCATGTGAGGGGTTTGTGACCCAGTCTGTGAATGGGCTTGAGAGGTCTGTGAGCTCCAGACCCAGCCCTATCTCGACAATTGACCCAGCCCATGCAGGATTACGGGCAGGTAAAAGAGCTCTACACAAGCTGTGATTTTGTTATTATGTTTTGTAGCCCTAAAGAGGAGTGTCTCCAACTACCAGTCTGAAGTTTTCCAAGTGACAGACCAAACTCCTAGGCCATTGACTATAACCCAGAGGTCACTAAAACTACAACAAGCTTTAAAAAAAAACAAAATATGACAAGCTTTAAAAAAAACCAAAAATGGGCCGGCCCGTGGCTCACTCGGTAGAGTGTGGTGCTGATAACACTAAGGCCACAGGTTCAGATCCCATATAGGGATGGCCAGTTGGCTCACTGGGTGAGCGTGGTGCTGACAACACCAAGTCAAGGGTTAAGATCCCCTTACCGGTCATCTTTTAAGAAAAAAAAAAAAAATGACAAGCTTTATCAAAGGGAATACTGGTCAGGGCTGTGAGAACAGCCTTGCATTCTGCACAGTGAATGGAGCAACCATGTCCATGTTTGGTTCTGCTGTGCTGGCACTGAGGCTGAACAGTGGAAGCAGCTCAACAGATACCATCAGGTTTAAGCTCAACCAAACCATCAGTGAAATAGGCCCAGGCATTTACGGTAATCTCTGCAAACTGAAGTCCGCTTTGAACCAGCATTATGCTTCAGGCAGCAGAACAGGCATTGAAGTATGCCCAGAGGGATAGCTGCCACTTTTTCATGTAAAGTTGAGATGCTGCTGGAGCCAGGTCAGCTGCATTCTTGAATATGACCTTTCCATTTAACAATGAGGTTTGTTTGGACCTTCCCACCTAGTTTATCTTTGAGCCTAGTTGACCCACCCAACTCTCTCATGCCAGAGAGTCACAAAGGCTCCATGGGTCAGTTTAGAGTAGAGCCCAGTAGCAAACTAATAGCTGCTTTTCAAATGGATGAGCCTAGTTGACCCACCCAACTCTCTCATGCCAGAGAGTCACAAAGCCTCCATGGGTCAGTTTAGAGTAGAGCCCAGTAGCAAACTAATAGCTGCTTTTCAAATGGATGGTACCTGATACCATATCAGGGAGAGAAGGAATCCAAATCTCTAAGAAGCACCTTCAGATGGAGGATACCTCCTTTTGCCAGACTCTAACTGGTTAAGTCATTAGTTACAGAGACTTGTAGCTCAAAGGGGTCATTAGGATTGTTGGGACAAAAAGATACTAATATTTCTGTTTCCACCTCTTAATCAGTAGAATCACATCTGGCACTTACAAGCATTCAAAGTACAGGCATGTAAAATATCAATACCGATTATACATTCATCAGTGGAAGCTACAATAGTGTACTAAATAGGCCCAAAAGGCCCCATGCAACAGGGTCACATTAAACTTGCTTCTCCACTGCAAAAATTGGCCAAACCCCATCAGTTGAATTAAGGTGTGGGAAGAATAGTGGCTTGGGTGGCTATATCAACAGCCATGAAAGTTTGAATCTCTCCCCTCTGCAAAGTTCCCCAGGCAGGTGCATATTGAATCTCACCCTTCTCCTTAATGAAGCTGAGGTCAACATAGAAGGGGAGGAAGAGAACAGGGACACAGAGGAAAAGAGCAGCTCTCTTTGAGGAAATTGAGACTTTGCATTCAATTTCGGTTTCAAGCAGCCATTCGTTTGCAGCTCACCTGAATGAGCTTCCAAGGTTTTCACACCCCCCAAAGGTCTGTATTGAATAGCATGTCTCTCGCTATTGACACTATTTATTTCAGCTTTGGGGATTCTTTGGCTTAGCAGCCACAGTCACATTGCTCTTAGTCTGTCTGGAGCTTTGGAGGCTGTTGCCCCATTGTCATAAGATCCCTTCTTCCACCTGCCTAGAGGAGAGTAACAACAATGGCACCATTTAGGCAGCTTTTTTCCATCCCACTTCTCACTGCATAGCCCTTAATCATTAATTAATAAGTAGGATATGGGGGTACCCTCATTCCCCTAACCCACCCCAACACTTGGACAAAAGCATTTACTTCTGGATCCTAGGGAGTTGTCTCATCTTTGAATCTGGTTTCTGGGGCCATTATCCTTCCTCTTCCAGAAGACCACGTCTGTCAGCATCCCATCTTCATCACCAAAACTTAACAGTGAAGAGTCTGAGATTCACTCTAGTCAAAAGCTAACAAGTTAGCCTGACACAGTTTTGTAGATGCTGGCAGAAGATATGAGATTCCAGAGTCAAAGACAAAGGATTTTATTATTCACAGCAGTAGCCAAAGTATCAACATTTTCTTGTTTTGGTTCCTAAGTCGCAAGTCCCACAGGGCAATGCAAAGAGAACCAGGTGATATCTGTACATGCACAAGGTTACAATACAGGAATGGAACACTGAGCATAGGGAAACTAAATCTTTTATACTGCCCTTTGCTCAAGAAGGAGATACCCTCTATTTTCCAAGGCTCTAAGCAAACCTGCCCTTTGTTCTGGAAGGAGACACTATACCTCCTTCATCTCTATCATAGAAGCATCCTTGAAAAATATTCCAGAATTAAGGCAGTCAGTACCTCTGCTTGCAAGACATACAGAACACACAAGCAGTCCATAAAGATTTGTCTAGTAAATACCTTATTTTAAACAAATAAAGTGGAAGTGATCTCACCATCTGTTATTTACTAACAAATAAACCAGACACTTGCATCAGTCCTTGAGAATATACTTCCCTGATCACCTCTCAATGGACATGCTCCTATTTCTCTTTCTGACTCTCCTCAAGACTTCCCGTAAGGCTAAACATGTCCCACATGTCTCACAGGCCAGTGTTCATAACAATCATCAGCCATACAACAGCAATTTAATGGATTTCAGCAAAGAGTGAGGATGAATGAAAGATTTCTTAGTAGAGGGCCAGGACAGGTAACCTGGATACCCATCTAAACTAGTGATTCTCAACTTTTCCTGTCTGCAGCTCACCAGAGGGATATTAGACATCCACTTGTCAGTGGTTCTGCATGGGAGACAATGGAGGAAAGCCAAAATTATTTTTTAAAGAAAATGTAATTTTATTAATATTATTTTTTTACATTCTAGGATGTTGTGGAGCAGTTGGGAGGGAGGGGGAGGAGAAAGGGGAAGGAAATGGGATGGAAGGAGGAGACAAAATTATTTTTTAAAGAAAATGTAATTTTATTAATATTATTTTTTACATTCTAGGATATTGTGGAGCAGTTGGGAGGGAGGGGGAGGAGAAAGGGGAAGGAAATGGGATGGAAGGAGGAGCAAGGAGGACGGGCGGGACTGAGGCCTGTAGCAGCCCTTCATCCCACAGGGGGGTGGGGAGTGAGCCAAATTTGAGCACTAACTGAGTAAATCCTAAGTTACATACTCACATTCATTATTTTGCTTGTGATAGTCTGAATACAGCTCAGATATAACCATATCCAATTTTTTAACTACTTCAAAACTAAGTAATTACATATGAGGGTACTTCAAAAAGTTCATGGAAATCAACCACAAATGATTATATTGAAAAGTAAAATTTTTTTTAAAGTTCATGGAATATAGAATTAAAAGATACTATGAATCTTTCCATGATCTTTTTGAAGTACGCTTATATTATCCTCACCACTCCTATCTAATTGTAATGATATAAATTGACTCTTTAAAAAATACTAAACTTTTATGGGGCTGGCCAGTTAGTTCAGTTCATTAGAGCGTGATGTTATAACACCAAGGTCAAGTGCTCAGATCCCTGTACCAACCAGCCACCAAAAAAAAAACACAACTAAACTTTAATATATTACTTGGGACCTCTGGACTAGAAAACACTTCAAAAATCTAGTCTTTAACATTTAAGGGCCAGAAACACCTAATTTTTTTTTTTTAATTAGCAAAACTTATTCCAGAAGGCATGTTAAAATATATAATGCCTAGGGCCGGCCCGTGGCTCACTTGGGAGAGTGTGGTGCTGATAACACCAAGGCCCCGGGTTCGGATCCTATATAGGGATGGCCGGTTCGCTCACTAGCTGAGCGTGGTGCTGACAACACCAAGCCAAAGGTTGAGATCCCCTTACCGGTCATCTTTTAAAAAAAAAAAAAATATATATATATATATATATAATGCCTAATTTTTTTTTTAGTTAGCAATACTTTTACATTGAGAGACATGTTAAGATATACTTACTGCTTACCCAGTCCTCGATAGCAATCAATTCAGACATATAACTACTAGATCAATATTTAATCATCCAGGAAAAGACATACTGCTACATCAGCTGATTTTTTTTCTGTTTGAATTTAATGAGTTTACATCCAAAAATTAGGTAGTAATTTTACATTTAAGGAATAAAAATCTTTTTTAAAAAATACAAAAGAGTGAAAGGATTTTAACTAAGTTTACACTTTTTGCTGTAGTTTTTAACAACAGTTCATCTCATCATATCTTATTGCAATGTGCAAATACATTTGCAGCACCCATTACAACCATGAAACTAAATTTATGAAAGTACACTGTCAATAGTGGCCTTCAGAGGAAACTGATTTACCTTCTATTAAAAACTCTATGGTATATAACCATTATACAATAATGCTACTTAACCACCTTTTGTCATAAGAATCATCACTAAAGTTTTCTGGAAGTAAGTTCACATAAGAATTAAATATTTAAAGGGTGAAATGTTCCTTATTTTAACTTTAGCAAGATCTTTTCTTTTTCGTTAAGAAACACTTAAATAGTTTTAAGCAAAAGCTATTAGAGTATAGACAGCTAAAACTGTACTCCTGAGTTCAAGCATACAGATAAGTCTTTTGTAAGTAGTTCTCAATACAATATCCTCCCTCCCCAGCTCCCTGCCCCGATCTCGTTTTGTTTCTTACAAAACTTTGGTCAAGAGTAGAAATATATCCAGGCAGATATATATGCCATACAGTAGCAAGAACAGTAAAGCCTAACTAATGACTTTGGATTTTAAAAATAGAAGGCAATTAAAATGTACTCAAAGTTACATTAAGAAAAGCTTTCACAGGGTAATATTGAAACAGTCACAAAGGTTTAGAAAATACTAATATCAAAGTACAAATGACTACGATGTTAAAATAGACAAAAACTACTATACAAGAGCCTCTTTTATAATTAAAAATAAAGAACATAACACATGAGTCAGGATGATTTTCCTGTTCTACTCATGAATTTTAGTCTTTATAAGGTTAGTAACGTTGACATCTAGTAGAGTTTCTTATGACATCTGATGAGGTCTCATTCCAACTTCATAGCGTAGGTCTTCCCCAAGGAACCTCTCGATCCTGCTCCATCTTGGTCATTCACTGTACAATTTCAAAGTAGTACAATATCGCCATGATGTGCTGGGGCATGAAGACATATCCTGTGTACAGGGCCATCCCCACAACAGAAACTAGCATGGAATCTGAGCTGTAGTTAAGGAAACAGTATTTTTCTTAATTTATTCAAAACTAAATCCCCAAATTTTTCAGCAACCATTTTATGTTGAAATGCCCATTCACTTAAGTGATATATATATTAAGTGTTTCTAAAGAACTAATAATATGGGCTGGACTCAGCTCAGTTGGTTGAAGTGCCGTGTTATAACACCAAGATCAAGGGTTCGGGTCCAGTTCCCCTCACCAGCCAGCCACCAAAAAAAAAAAAAAGAATTAATATTAACAAGAATGATAATGCTAGCCACTAACAACCATGCCTGGCACCATTCTAAGGTTTTGTGTTTGCGCGGGGGGGTGTTAGCTCATTTTATTTTTACCACCATACAAGGTAGGTACTGTTATTCTCCCTATTATAGTTGAAAACATCAGACTGCTTAAAAATAAGCATAGAAAGTGTTGCTGTTCAACCTAAGAAACAAACAAACATAAAGGAATAAAATTATATTAAATGACTGTAAAAGGTCTACCAACTTAAGTAATAAGAATGTACGATTGAAGAATTTTAGAATTATTTAGACTATACTGTGGCTAAAAGCATTGACTTTGGAGCCAGACAAAGTTAAAGTCAATCATACACTAGCTTAGTGACATATGAGTATAAAGTGACAGCACCTGCTAATATTTATTATTATTACTATTAAACATTATTATTACCTATTGCTACTATTTGCAACAACTTTAAACAAAAGTCATACAATAACCTGAACAATAAACATCTGTACTGTGTTCCTTTCTTCTCATTTAAAAAGGAACTGAAACTGAACATATGCAAGTCAACCAGGGGTCCCCTCTAAAGCCACACAAAATATTGCTAACAAAAATTATGTAAAATCTAAGGGCTTTTGGCTTTGCAGAGTCACATAGCCGTGCTAAGAGGAATAACTACTCCTGAACTTGGGTCATGTTTTTTAAATTCATTCATTCATTCATTCATTCAT